GACAATCATAGGGCTCTCTTTGGAAGGCTGGGAGAAGAGAAAAGGCTCAGAAGACTTCCATGCTAATTAAAATAATAATCATGATAATAGCTTTATTGAAGTATTATGCACATACTATAAAATGTGTCCTTTTAGAATGTACAGTTCAATGGCTTGTAGTATATTCACAGACCTGTGACTATTTTAGAAAGTTTTCATCACCCTAAAAAGTAGTCCTGTACCCTTTAGCCATTACTTTCCAAACCTCTCCTCCTTCCCCGACTCTGGCAAACAATCTACTTTCTGTCATCATAAATTTGCCTACTCAAGACTTAATATCAATGCAGTCAAATAATATGTGGCCATTTGTGAATGTCTTCCTTTATTTAGCATGTTTTAAAAATTCATCGATGTTAAAATATACATATCAGAACTTCACTTCTCTTTATGACTGAATAATATACCATTGGAGTTCTGGTGTGGTACTGTAAGATAAACACTGGACTGCAAAGTCGGTTTGAACTGCAAGGCCAGCAGTTCAAACCCACCAGTCACCCCTAGGAAACCCTAAGCAGGGTAGTTATGAGTTGGAACCAATTCGATGGCATTTAACAATAACAACAATATGCCATTGTGTATACTATACTTTATCTATTTGATCAGCTGATGAACGTTTGGATTGTTTCCATCTTTTGAGCAATATGAATAATGCTGATATAAACATTCGTGAAGAATTTTTAGTGTGGATCTTCTCATTCTCTTGGGGTATATACCTAGGGTTAGAATTGCTGGGTCCAACATTTTGAGAAACCATGCTAACAAATTTGGTGCTTTTGTCTGTAGCGTGAAAGCTTAGTCCAGTTTCCTTAAGTGTCTTGGACATCTAGTCCCCAAAACTCTGGAGGATAATTCTACTCCAACATACATAGGGTTGCCATGGGTTGGAATGAATTAGATGGCAACTGGTTTTATTTATAAATATTTTTATGCTTTGTACTTAAAATCCACATTCAAACAAGAAAAGAACGCTTTCTTTTAGAAGACTGAAATCTTCTCTCCAGGACTTAATGCCTGTGTAAGGTTTTGTCTGGTATCAGAGACATTTACTTCTGTATCATGAGATTTTAGTAAGACTCATTGGATAGTCTTATTAAAACAAAAATCAGTGCTGTGTGGAAGCCCACTGTTACGTAAATATGACTGGGGTGCTAGTATTTTGAAGATACCATCCTTAAGCTTACTATATTTCAGAACAAAGTATGTTCCTACCTTGGTAATACAGAAAAAAAACATGTGAGCAGGTAAGGAGAGAATTCCTTCAGACGAGAACAGAAAGCACAGGAAGCCCTTAGATCTTTACAACAAAGCTTCAGATTAAAAGACTCCACTCTCTTCCCATAGCAAGCCTGTGAGATGATATCTTTGTATTCCTCCAAGGAGAAAACCCTGTCATACACCAAGTGTGGAAGCACCTGGCTCACATTTAACTCCTCCAAGATTTTTTCCTTTAATTGGTCAGGATTTCTGAGAGCCATTTATTCCTCTTCTCATTTTCTTTCTACGTTGTGTCACAGAAATAAAACCAAGATGTGGCCCTGAGGTCAAACATCTTGGCGTGGGCAGAGTTGAGAAGATGTCTCTCTCCTGGATCTGGTCCTTCTGCAGCCTCAGTGGACAATACCCACACCACCGGGCTATCTGGAGGCAAACTCACACCGCCGTCTTTGGAGAGATGGAAGGCCAGGATTAAACCCCGGAGCAGCCAAGTGCTGACTCTCTTGTCCTAAGAGGATTTCCAACATTAACTAATCCTGTATAGCAGTTAATGTCAAAAGATGAAAAGATACAGTGCAGCTAACTCCTGTTAAAAATCCTTCCTTTCATCCCTAAATAATACTTTCTCAAGGTTTCTTACTTCCTACACTCCAAATACATTAGAAAATAAAGTGTTCACATCTATTTTAAGTGGTCTACTTGCATCAGAGCCTCATTGGCAGCTGTGCCCAATAGGATTCACCAGCCCTGAGTAGTTTGGGATTTTGTTGCTGTTGGCTGGCAACAATTCCATGCACAATGAAACAAAATGCTGCTTACCCTGCACCATCCTCATGATGTGTTGCTGATCAGACCTTCCTAGTCTGTCTTAGTCTGGAAGCTCTGCTGACAGCTGGGTGGTGGTTGTGTGTGGGAGTGCATTAGCTGGGAACCAAACTGGATCTCCTGACTGAAAAGTGAGAATTCTATCACTAAATCACCACAGTCTCTCAATTTGGGATTACACATCACATTACAGCAAATACAGAAGATAAAGGAAAGGAAAGGAATCAGAACCAGTTGTCACATAAATGGGTTCTTGGTTTTATTAAATGGACTTCTGATGCGGCGCTGTGGGTTAATGCGCTGGGCTGCAAAGTTCATTTGATCAGCAAGGTCGGCGGTTCAGGCTCATTAGTCGCTCCTCAGAAATCCTGTACAGGGTCGCTATGGCTGGGACACAACTTGATGGTTCTTAACAGCAACAGCAGCACTTTTATTAAACTGAGTGCTATTTCTTAGTAGCATGGTTCTGTTCTTTTCAGAAATTTCAGCACTTAATGAAATGTAAAGAAACTTAAGGATCATTTAGTTAATTGATTAGATCAGCAAAATGACCCCCTCTTCTCTGATCAGACACTGGAATGAAACTGGATGAGGACCAGGGATTATTGCTGTGAAGAGGAGGCCTCTATGCCAAAAGTGATGCCTCCCTTCAGGCCAGCCTTTCATTTGCACCATCTGGAACCTCCCAGCTCTCAGGAGGATGCCGAGAACTCCCTTGTGTAGTCCACAGGTTCTCTGCCCACGAAAGTGCTCTGCCCTATTCCTCTTCCTCTGTAGTGGTGGTGTGCTGTGGAGTCGATTCTGACTCATATATAGCAACCCTGTATAGGATTCCCAAGGATGTGAATCTTTACGGGAGCAGAAAGCCTCATCTTTCTTCCACGGAACGGCTGGTAGTTTTGAACTGCTGACCTCAATGTAGCCACTACGCTACCAGAGCTCCTTTCTTCCTCTGTAGTTGTTGTTGTTAGGTGCCATCCAGTCAGTACCGATTCATAGCGACCTTATGCACAGCAGAACGAAACACTGCCAGATCCTGGGCCAACCTCACTACCGTTGCCATGCTTGAGTCCATCGATGCAGCCACTTGGCCAATCCATGTCGCTGGGTGTCTTCCTCTTTTTCTCTGACTGGCAACTTAGTCCTCCCATCTACACTGCTCGGTCAGCTTATGAAATATCACCCTAAAATCAGTGTGCAGGTAAAGAGGAATAATTTAAAAGAACCCAAATGTTCCAATTTCTTACTTTCTTTACAGTTAGGACATTGATGAAAAGCTCTGTGGCTCTGATAATATTCTTGCCATTTCAGTTTGTATAAACAGCTAGATCTTCTTTTACTGTGGCATCTGCATTGCAGATTTACTTTTCAGGAAGATAAAATAAAACACAGTTGGGTGGTTTAGTGATAATCATAGGAAGAGATTTGAGAGATTTGTTCTGGCTTTGCTTTTGACCTTGCATGTGACCTTAGAAAGTAATTTCATGTCACCATACTTCATTAAAACTACAAACCAGGGTTGGGCTGTGACCATATTGTAAAACACTTCAGGGTACAAGAATGGGGTCAGAGGCAGTCACCCGGAAAGAGTCCCACATGAAAACTTCTCAGGGAAATAGTGCCACCTTGTGGTAGTTTATACTGTCACAGGCCATTTTTATTCTAAGTTTATTTGGGTGCCCACTTTGTGCTGGGTACTGTGATATAAAGTAATAGTGACTATGACAAATAACATCTTAAACCTGGGAAACATGTGCAGATAGAATAGTAAAAAAAAAAATCAAGTAGACAAATAGGATAATTACAAATTCGGTGTTACAGCTGATAAAAAATGCTGAGAGAATGGAGCAGAGAGGTGGCATGTAATCTAAAATAGGATGCAAAGAAGCAGGCATGAGAGTGTATGGAAGATATTGCCAAGCATGGATCTCAGGGTGTGTAAAGTCCCAGTGGCAAGAAGGAGTGGGATGTATTTTTGGATGTAAGGGCTCCGTGCCTAGCGCACGGGGTAGAGGCAGGTTAGTGAGCTCAAGCTTGCTGGAATGCCAGGTCCTAATAAGGAAGTCCGATTTTGTTCCATTTTCAGTAGAAGTCTCCTTAAGGATTTACCCAGGAGAATGAACGATGTGATCTGATAAATGTTTTAAGGGGCCCACTTTTGGGTTGTTAGCCTGTTACCATTTTCTTTATCATTTGTTCTCTCTTCATCTACCTAATCTTTTTCTGAATCATTTGGATGTAAGTTAAACATATCATAACTTTGTACCACTAAACTTTCAGTATATATTTATTAAGGAGATTTATTTTGTTGCATATCCACAGAGTAATTATCAACTACATAAATTCATACTTACACATTGTTTGAAAGTAAAATACCAATCACATTTTAATGTTGTAGCTTGATTTAATGAAGTCTTTATATTTTACCAATTTTGGGTCAGGCATTACGTTTTGTTGTCATGATACTTTGTTGTTGTTCAGTGTCACTGAATCTGTTCTAACTCATAACGACCCTGTGTATGGTTTCTGAGGAGCCGCTTGAGAGTTTAAACCGCCGACCTTGCAGTTAGCAGTCTGGTGCTTATCCTACGGCACCACACCGACTCCATTTAGCATCCTTTAATTGAGAACATTTCTACAGCCACCTGTGTTTTTTTAACAACTTTATTGATCTATATACTTCACACGCTATAAAATTTACTCACTTAAAGTGTACGGTTTTTATTGCAAACATGTTTGGTACATTTTCACATATTGAAAGTTACGTGCAGTCATCACCAAGGTCAATTTTAGAGCATTTTCACAATTTCAAAAAAGAAACTCCCTTTCTTTTCACTTCCACCCCTATTCTAGTCCTCTACTTGCTCCTCACCTCCAATCTGAAACAGTCACTAAACCATTTTATGTCTCTACAGATTTACCTTTTTTGTAGTTTTCATATACCAGTAGTTCTGATTTATAATGAGGTTCCATTTCAATGATGCCATTGTAAGTTAGTTCTGATGCAAGTAAAATACCTCTTCTTTATTTTTTTAAGTTTGTTATTGCTTTTTATTTTCAGGATCTTTATAAATCTGATCATTGAATAACATCAGCAAATTATGCACTGCAACATTATATGGAGTACATATGATTAGATGTAAAAAAAAAAAAAAAAAAGCAAAACCACACAAATAATAGATGGTTGTAAGTGCTGTTTATAGTAACAATATGGCCTAAAAGAAGGAACCTTAATTGAGAACCCAGAAGTAAATTCATTCACACACAGTCAGTAGATATTTGACAAAGGGCCAAAACACATTAAATGGGTAAGAGATAGTCTCTTCAACAAATGGTGCTGGAAAACTGGAAATCCATTTGCAAAAGAATGAAACAACACTCATATTTCACACCATATACAAAAACAAACTCAACAAGGATTAAAGACCTAAATGGAAAACCTAAAACTATGACGATCATCAATGAAAAAATCAGGACAAACTTAGGGGCTGTCATACATGGCATAAACAAACTGTCAAACATTAGTAAAAGTGCACAAACAGTAGAAGACAAAATAGATGACTAGAACCTTCTAAAAATTAGATACTTATGTGCATCAAAATATTTCACCAAAAGAGTAAAAATGGTACCCAAAGACTGGGAAAAACATTTTTGCAGACAAAGGACTAATCTCTAAAAGTTATGGGAAACTACAATACCTCAAACTCCAAGAGGAAGATCAACAAACCAATTTAAAAATTGCACAGGACATGAACTGACACTTCACCAAGGAAGACATTCAGGCAACCAACAAACATATGAAGAAATGTTCCTGATCATTAGCCATTGTTGTTGTTAAGTGCCGTTGAGTCAGTCCTGACCCATAGCGGCCCTGTATAGGGTTTCAAGGAGCAGCTAGTGAGTTTGAACTTAAGTTCAAACTGACTTTGAAGTTCAGGGCATTAACCCGCAGCACCACACCAGGACTCCTCTTTAGCTATTGGTATGGTGGTGGTAGTGTGCCGTGGAGTCGGTTCCGACTCATAGTGACCTTGCATAGGGTTTACGAGTTTGTAAATCTTTACAGAAGCAGAAAGCCTCAACTTTCTCCTGCGGAATGGCTGGTAGTTTCGAAGTGCTGACCTTGAGGTTAGTAGCCTGACTCATAACCACTACACTACTAGAGCTTCTTTCATTAACCATTGTTGTTGTTGTTAAGTGCCGTCGAGTCAGTTCTGACCCATAGCGACACTGAACAGGGTTTCCGAGGCTGTAAATCTTTACGGGAGCAGAAAGCCTCATCTTTCTTCTGCGGAGCAGCTGGTAGTTTTAAAGTGCTGACCTTGTGGTTCGCAGCCAGATTCATAACCACTATGCTACCAGAGCTCCTTCATTAACCATTAGAGAAATGCAAATCAAAACAACAATGAGATGTCATTTCACACCAGCATTAATAGCAAAGTTTGAAAAAACAGAAAACAAAAAGTGCTGGTGAGGGTGTTGTGAGACTGGGACTGTCAATTGGTTAAACCACTCTGGTGAACAGTCTGGTGTTTCCTCAGAAAGTTGCAAATAGAAATACCTTGTTGTTGTTGTTGTTAAGTGCCGTCGAGTCGGTTCCGACCCATAGTGACCCTGTATAGGGTTTCCGAGGAGTGACTGACCCCGCAATCCCTCTACTTGGTATATGACCATAATATGGTCATATTTCACAAGAAATATGACCCAGGACACGAGTAGATATATGCACATCACAGCACTATTCACAATAGCAAAAAGTTGGAGTGTCCATCAGTGGAAGCATCCATCCATGGAAGAATGGATAAACTTGGTACATACATACAATGTAATACTATGCAACATTGAAGGGCAAGGACGACTCTTTAAAACACTTCATAACATGGATGAACCTGGAGGACATTATGCGGAGTGAAATTAATCACAAAAGGACAAATATTGCTTGAATGGCACTATTGTGAAAACTCAAGAAAAGGTTTTCAAGCTAAAAGAAATATTCTTTGATGGTTACCAGGGGTGGAAGTGAAGGGAGAGTAATTCACTGACTAGAGGTATTGTTGTTGTTAAGTGCTGTGGAGTCGGTTCAGACTCACAGCGACCCTGTATAGGGTTTCAAGGAGCCACTGGTCATTTTAAATTACTGACCTTGTGGTTCAAACTGATCTTGCGGTAAAGTGCTTATCCTGCAGTGATTTTAAAAATAAAAATAAATAGATCTCTGGTAGTGTAGTGGGTTATGTGTTCAGTTGCTAACCGCGTAACTGCAAAGTTAGCAGTCTCTCCTTGGGAGAAAGATGAGGCTTTCTGCTCCCATCAAGATTTACAGACTCGGAAACCTTATGTGGGGTGGCTATGGGTTGGAATCGACTCCATGGCACACCCCCACCTCTAACAGGAATCATAAGATACGTGATCTTTTGTAACTGACTTCTTTCCTTTAGCATAATGTTTCCAAGGCTCATTCATGTTCTAACATGTATCCATACTCCATTCTTTTGTGTTGACAAATAATATTCCACTGCATGGCTATCCCACATTTTGTTCATTCATCAGATGGACATTTGGGTTGTTTCTACCCTTTGACTACTAGGAATAATGTTGCTATAAGTATTCATGTACAAGTTTTTGAGTGAATATAATGTTTTCCTTTCAGTTGGATTGGAATTGCTGGGTCATATAGTGGCACTGTGGGATCAGCACTGAACTGAGAACCACAAGGTCTGCAGTTGAAACCCACCAGTTGCTCCTCGGAAACCCTGTATAGGGTGGCTGTGAGTCAGAATGGATTCGACAACACTTAACAAAAACAACAGAAATATAGTAAATATATTAAGTATGGTTAATCACTTGAGGAACTCTAATTAATTACAACTTTAAACTGTTGTTTATTAATACAGCTGCATCATTTTACATTCAAATCAATAGTATATTGGGTTCCAATTTCTCCACACCCTTGCCTTCACTTACTATTATCTGAGTTGTTTATTCTATCCAAGATGGTGAGACTTTGTCTCGTATACTTCGGACATGTCAGGAGAAGGATATCATGCAAGGTAAAGTGGAAGGTGGATGAAAAAGAGGAAGACCTCCAAAGATATAGAATGGCACCATGGTGGCAGCAATGAGCTCAGGCTTAACAACATTGTGAGGTTGTCGCAGGACTGGGCAGTGTTTCATTCTCTTGTGCATAAGATTGCTATGAGTTGGAAGTGACTTAACGGCACCTGACAACAAGCAGAAGTAGGTGTGAAAAGATAGCTCATGTGGTTTTAATTTGCATTGCCTTACGGACTAATACTGGACTAACTGACTAGCTGGACTAACTGGGCTAACACTGGATTCTCTAGTGTGGCACTATAGAATCAGCACTGGACTGTCAACCCCAAGGTCGGCAGTTCCAACCCACCAGGTGCTCCTTGGAAACCCTACACAGGGTCACTATGATTCGGACTGACTAGATGGCACTTAACAACAACAACAATGACTAACAACAACAACAACAAATTACTGATGAGGCTTTCTGTTCCCACAAAGATTTAAAACCTACATAGGGTAGCTGAGCTGAACATACTCAATGGCACATAACAGCAATGACTAATGATGGTAAACATCTGTTCATATACTTATTGGCTATTTGCATGTGTTCTTTGAAGGAATGTTCATTCAAGTGCTTTATTTTTTATTTATTTATTTATTTAATGTTTTATTGTTAATTAATGTGATAGTTTACATGGGAGAACATTGGTTTTACATTCATTCTATTGTATATCTCTCATTGCCATGGTTACAATCTCCTCCATGCAATCCTTCCCCTGTGCCCCCCAGGTCTTCAGCACACAGTCACTTTCCCTCTCTGGATCTAAAGTCTCCAGCTGCTCCATTGCTCCACATCATCATCTCTGGCTCCATTTCAGGCATCACTGCTTCTCTGGGTAGGGTCCTGCTCTCTGCTCTTCTCCCT